GTATATAGTTATTCAGTGCAATCACATTTAAATAAGTATTATCAATATATTCAAATCTATATGCATTAAAAATAAATGGGAAAATAGGAATAGCATTTGTAGTACCAGAATTCAATAAAAAATAGGAAAACCAATCACAGATGGATTATCAGTTTATACAGGGGAAATGTTGGCAATATTATTAGCTTTACAATGTGTAGAAGATATAAAACCATTAAAAACAATAATATGCCAAGATTCAAGTTCTGCATTGATATAATCATTCAGATAGCAGGATGGACATTTTATTAGAAATATTTCATATTATATTCAGAATACAAAACATGGGTTTGATAGTTGTGTGGGTTCCAGCAGATATTGGAGTAGAAGGAAATGAGAGGGCAGATAAAATGGCAAAAAGAGCAATTCAAAACCCTATTAGCTTTACAGTTAAAACAAGCAAATCTGAAGGTAAGAGTATTGTTAAAGAAAAACTGATGAAAGTATGGCAAAAAAAGGTGGGATGAAGGAAAAACAGGAAGATGGATTTATAAAATTCAGAAAGGAGAAAGAAGAAATAGAAAGGAGGGAAGTGATAAGAAGGTCAAGGTTTGGACATGCAGGACTTCATTACAAACTTTTTAAAAGTCAAAAGCACAACAATGGCAAATGTGATCATTGTGAGAAATATGAAACAATGGAGCATGTTAATTTTAGAACGAAATAAATACAGCATGTAAAATAAGTATTGAACACGTCAACATTTTTCTCAGTAAATATATGAGAGGTGCTAATGACATGAAATTTTCACCAGATGTCGGTAACAACCCAATGATCCATACACACAAAGAAATCAAACCATAAATGTCCAGAAATGAATTTATTTGTAATAATGTAGAATGGCACAGGGAAAAAGTATTGAACACATGAAGAAAGGGAGGTGTAAAAAGGCATGGAAAGCCAAGACACCAGCTGAACTACCTCAGTAATTAGAAAGCAAGCCTGTCCCTTGTCAGTGCAAGTTAATATCAGTTGGTTCAATCCCAAATGATGGCCAGGTATCACACAAGAAATATCTGATGATGGGTAAAAGTAAAGAGCTCTCTCAAGACCTTCACAACCTTATTGTTGCAAAGCATAATGATGGCATCGGTTATAGAAGAACGTCTAAACTTCTGAATGTTCCAGTGAGCACTGTTGGGGCCATAATTCAGAAGTGGAAAGAACATTATTTCACCATAAACCGACCACAACCAGGTGCTCCTCGCAAGATTTCTGACAGAGGAGTGAAAAGAATTATCAGAAGAGTTGTCCAAGAGCCAAGGACCACTTGTGGAGAGCTTCAGAAAGACCTGGAATTAGCAGGTATGTTTGTTTCAAAGAAAACAAAGTAATGCACTGAGTAATGCACCATGGCCTGTATGCACGCTCACCACGCAAGACTCCACTGCTGAAGAAACAGCATGTTGAAGCTCCTTTAAAGTTTGCTGCACAACATTTAGGTCATATTCAGACCTGATAATTTGCTCCGCTTTAAACGGACCAGAGTTCGTTTCCAGCGTTGGTCCGGACC